GAGATATGCGCGGCCAGTAGTGTCATAACGAAGACCGCCGGACTTGCCAGTAGTTACTGCAGGCTTGGGAGTGGTAGGTTTACCCCAAGAGGACCCCTTTGCCTCATGTGTGGCGTGTTTATGTGCCAGCACCTCATCGTGTTTGCCTTCCATAGCTCCTCCCTTCCCGAAGCAGTCCTTCGTGGGGTGGCTGGAGTTGCCGCAGGTGCCACAAGACACACGATCATGGTTGTGGGTAGTACCCCCTTTCCCAGTGGCAGCCATGGCGATATCACCCCTTGGATTTCTTGGTGTCAATAAGCTGTTGTTCGACATCGAGGTGTGAATGGATGTTCGACGGACCGTAAGTGTTGGTGGAGGTGCTGGTAGCAAGAGCGTCAGCAATATGGTTACGCACGTGGGGGAGATCCTCTGCCATGGTGTTGAGCATCATGATGGTAAGGAAATCTTCCTCCTTTGGCATGCCAATGGCGTAGATCCACCGGACGAGTTCATTGAGCTGAGTGCTCATGGTAGAAAGACTCTCTGAACGACGGTATTTGACCACCAAAGCCTGCTGGATGAGTAAGATCTGGGCAATGGGGCCGACTTTCTCATGGCGAGACTTGAGAGCATCCCATGTGAGGTAGGTGTTAGTGTACCCACGGAGGAACTCGTTTTCCTCAGAACCAGAACGTGTGCGCAATGCAGCGACTATGCACAAGTTATTGAGATCCCAATGGCCCGCACTAACAGGATCCAAGGACGGATCAGGACGGGTGACTAGGCCTAGGATATATCCACCTCCATGTTTCAAGAGGAGATAGTTCTGCATGCAGTCAGACCAGGTGCTCCAGTTATTCTTACTGTGGTCTAGGACTTCGATCTTGTCTAAGTCAGTTTGACTGAGTGATATGGCCGTAACGGTAGCCTGCAGGGAGGACATGGTGGTAACGGCAGGAATCGGGTTGGTTTTCGATGCGTTGAGTGGTGTACCTTTGGTACCAGAGCTCTTAGAGCGAGTATGGGTAGTGGGCGGCATGAAGACAAGAGGTGGGAATGAATAATTCTTAACTTGCGGGTATATATATGCGCGGGTGATTGTATTCAATGCTTCTCGCCCGCAGAGGAAGAGGTTTCAAATGCTCTGATGACATCAATAGAGGTCAACGTTGTTCTCAATGACGTCAATAGAAGTCAGTGTTGATCTTGATAAGACAAGCCTGATGGTTCGATAACCCGGCAGGGTGGTTCCGGTTCCTAAGTGGCCCGCTGGTGTCTAGAAGGTAATTCCGCTCCTCGTTTACGAGAGAGCAGGGCTCATAACCTATTAGAGCTAGACACAATGTCAGCCCTCAGTTGTGATGGAACAAACTAAGATTATCAAGTACCTAGACACAATGTCAGCCTAAGCAGTCATTAGTATCTAGGGCGGTTCGAGTAACTAAAAAGGCTTACCCTCAGTTGTGATGGAACAAACTGAGGGAAGGTGAGAACGTGAATTGGTATATGTATGGTGGTTCGAATTTCAACGTTCAACTCCACTAATCACGTCGGTGCGCATAGCGTCAACAATACCCAGATATTGGTCTCCATCAGTAGACAATATCCTCGTTGGCACGCACTTAGTTCTTTCCTGTTCTCTCTCTTTCCATTTGATTACATCAGTTTTGTAGTTCTACAGTATTTAAACTCGCGTTGATCTACTGTAGAGGTAGTTGATCTTCCCCTGACTGAATACATTTTAGTTTGGACAGTTACCTTGTCTGAATCCTTAAGCATATTCTCTCGCCTTCGACTCGTTCTTACCGTGTGAACACTCTCTGAGTGCCACACAGTGTCACGCGTCCGTAATAGGTAATTAGAGGACTTCGTGCACCTTCGAGTCATCCGAGTCAGCAAATTTGCACCAGACCTTAGTTCGGTTTTGAGCAAAATTTTTCCATTATTCTAGGATTCGGAACGTTGTTCAACCACTGGTTCAACCCTTACTGTAGATCTGCTTCGAGTCTCCATCATTTGATTGATGATTTTCCTATGATGACTCGCGCTCACTCGCTGTCGGTCAGAACGCTGATAATCGCCACTACTACTACTAGTATCTGCGTGACCTCCTGCATGTCCATCTATGTACCGAATATTGTGGTGACTTGCTTTTCACGAGACGTAACTTTGCTGCTGAACTTCTCCATGAGCCTTTTGCTCAGTCGAGTAAACGCGTGCGCGCTATCTCGAAGGCTTCCTCACTCTCCGAGATAGACCAGACTGAATTGCAGTTGCCATGTTGCCTCGCCTCTGTTCCAATTTCCTTACTAATGCTTATTTTCTTGAGGGGCTTTCTTGCCTTCTGTCGTTGTTCACCTTATCACATGGCCGCGTCCTCGTCTTTTGCTCTGTCTTCGCCATTGGCTTCGGGCCCTCCTGTCTTGTTTGTCACAATGGGTCAGCAACTTGCAGGCGATGCTGTGTCCGTCGTATCTAAGCCTGCTTCGCATGAATGAATTTCGCGTTGACCTCTCTATTGATACATCCGTCCAGTTGCCCGTGTCTTGCTGCGACAATCCGAAGTATGTTCCGCCCCGGCATCAACACAAAACAGGAGCGCACGCAAACTACACATGTCAGAATGATATGGCTCGGTCTGCCACTTTCAATTCTCCCACCTTTAGCGTTCGAATCATCCTCGGTCACTTTGGAAGAGCCAACGACCGAAGGAGTGTTCATCGATGAGACTTCAGCGAGGCTGGGGAGGTCATATCATCTGCCTGACCGTCAGACTCACACTGTCCTTAGCTTGCGTGTATTCTTCTGGTCTCCAGCCCCATTAATGTTTCATTTGGTGGTGAATCTCGACAGTTTTGGTTAGTCCGTAGAGAATCTAGGTTGGCACGTACATATCTCAGGGATATACCTTATGTTTCTGAGACGATCCGCACGATGCATGAAGGTGAATTATATTTCATGGACAGACTATCACATCAAAAGGAGGTTTTGGCGCAATGACTGGGCCTAGTTAAGACGGAGCTCCGAGGAGCAAAAATGTTGTCAGCAGGTTTCGAACCGATTGCAAGAGACACAGATTTTGATTCTGTTGTGGTAACCACTTGGTTAAGACCAGTTAAGATGAGCCTCCGCCATGAGTGAATGTCAAAGTGTGTTTCGACAGAAAAAAAAACCTTGTCGTCGGCAGGTTTCGAGCCTGCGCAAGTCAGATAGAAACATATTTCGATTATGTTGTAGTAACCACTTTGGCCAGGGCGAAGTTGAGATGAGCTTCTGAGGAACTGTCCATCAGTGAATCTTCATGAAGGCGTGTTCGCATAGAAAAAAAACTCATCGACAGGTTTTGAACCTGCACTGGTACAGTCCAAGAGACAGATTTTGATTATGTTGTAGTGATCACTTCGGTCAGGGCGAAGTTGAGATGCACCTCCGAGGAATTGGGCGTGTTCCGATAGAAAAAAACCCTGTTGTTCGGCAGGTTTCGAAACTGCGTAGTCCAAGAGAAACGGATTTTGATTCCGTTGTGGTAACCAATTTGGCGAGGACGAAGTTAAAATTAACCTCCGAGGAACTGTCCATGAGTGACTAGTGAATCTTCAAGATGTGTTCCAATAGAAAAAAAAAACCCTGTTGTTAGGCAGGTTTCGAACCCGCGAAGTACAAGAGAAACAAATTTTGATTCTGTTGTGGTAATCACTTGGGCCAGGACATTTTCTGACCAAGTTTAGACGAACCTCCGAAGAACTGTCCATGTCACTGGCAGCAGGTTTCGAATCCGCACCACAAGAAAGCAGATTTCTAATCTGTTCTGGTGCCAAACGGTTAGCTATGACTACTCAAGATCATGATAGGCCTTGAAAAAATCTATGAATGTTACCGTTCGGGGCGTGGTAAAAGGAAATAGAATTTTCTCATTTGGAGACACCACCATCTCGACCAATTTTGTCAGCTGGTGACTCGTCCCTGATCCTCACCGTCAATTTGCTGCAAATTCAATGCAGGTACTTTTCGCGTACCCAGGTTCTTCAAGTTTTCCTCAATGAATAGGTTGAAGTCGCTTCTTCCATGTCTGATATGTTTTCAACCCCCTCTGGAATTGGGCCACTCGCCCTTCAAGATCATCTAGTACCCGACCGCCCCGCATGCGGCATCATGCACTACTGCGCTTTTCCAGGCTTAGCGGCAAAGACAAAGATTCCGTTTGGAGAGTGTGCGCTGGGAGACACCTTCCATTAGTTTCATCGCCCCTTCAGTTAATAATTTCTGGAGTGTCACATGTCACTGGTCAGAGCTCAGCAGATTCAACACACAGAACCTCTCTCACCTACACGTCCTTCGTGAACATCATTAACTTTTCTACTCCTACCTGCAACAATATGTGTCATCTCATACGGTTCACTTTTTAATCTCTGAATCTCTGAATTTGCAGATCGTCGTGGTGGATATAACCCTATCAGATACTGGTTCTCACTCTCGCCGGTGGGACGCTCACAGGCGTAGTTTGGTCGTGATGAGCAAAACAAATTCATACCTAAGCGATTTTCCTAATCTTTTATTTCAGAATCAGGGAGCTGCGCTTCCGCTTGATCCTGCTGTCTCGCCTGAAAGCATTACTATTTTGCATTGTGCATCAAGTTCGCATCACCCTCTCGACGACAGTGTTGGCGTGATGGGTGGAAAAGAGGTGATTTTTTACAGACAGGACTTCTCATGCGTCTACTAAGCGCGAACTGGTGGGCATCTGTGGGAACGAAAGATCACGAGCACACAGTACTAGTATATCGCATCTATAACTCACAGTGTACTAAGCCAAGTGAAACGATATGACTTAATTATGTAAGGGATGGGATGTAATAAACCGCGAACCACAGCGTAATTTCCTTTTTTTTCACGTGTTGCTGCTTTCAGGCATATATCAACACCAGGAACATAAGCATTACAAAGTAGATATACAGCAGCTATACCAACATAATATAAATACATCCTCGATTGCGTTACAACGGAACCCCTTATGCTCTTCACATCCAGTCATCGTCGTCTGAATCCTCCTCCCCCGCCTCCTCCTCCCCCCATTCCTCACCCGAGTCGTCGTCGTCGTCGTCGTCGTCGGCGTTGTCGTGGTCGTCGTCGTCATCGTCGTCGTCGTCATCATCGTCGTCGTCGTCGTCGTCGTCGTCGTCACCGTCGTCGTCGTCATCGTCATCGTCGTCATCATCGTCGTCGTCGTCATCATCATCGTCGTCGTCGTCGTCCAAGTTCCGAAGTAATCTCAGTTGTTGCCATGCTTCCACCAGTGCTGATTCCATAACGATATCGATATCGGAATCCCCAAAGTAGTCATACCACTTGAAATCCGATAGAGTTGGAAATACCTCAACTAGGAAATATGGAACGCGCGCAACTTTCGACACCTCAGAGTGCCCAAGATGCAGCTTTTGAAGGGCTGTTTGCGTGGGCCAAAGCGCCTCCGTCCCGTCCGGTGCTCGAGGAATTGTTGTCGGTTGTGTGGCATCGAACGTCAGATGTAAGGTGTGCAGCAATCTGCACCTTGACGCCAGTGACATCATGGCGGTGAAGGTGACGTTACAAGTGCCACGTCTCCTTGAAGCGAACTTCAATTCCCGAATATCCGGCCAGGCAACTGCGACATCATTGATGAACCTATCGTCAAGGTGGTAGTTTCCAATGCCGATGAATTTGACAGACGACAGCCTGCTGAACTTGAGCAAGGGCCGGAAGATTTCGGAGGGGAGTGGGATCGCGAGCTCAGGGCCACAGCCATCTGATGCGTCCATCACATAGATCTGTTCCAAGGATCCAATTTGGCACGAGGTGGATAATGATTCCACGAATGCGGTGATTTCTGTCGGGGAAGCAGGTTTAGAGTACCCGATACTGATATGTGATAGTTGCCGGGTGGTGACTTGACGAATGAAGTGTGTGCACTGTGGTAAGGAACCGCCAAAGAGACAGAGGTGTTCGAGGACTATGCAATTCAAGGGGCATACCACCCGCATCGTTGGAGGTCCCGCGCAAAGTAAGCATGAGAGTTTGAAGACACCGAGCATGCTGGATATTAGTGATTGTCTGCCTCGTCAGGCACGCATCTATTCCGTGAATGCTCAGTATAATTAACTTGGACAGCTTTTCGAAACTCGGAGGAACTGTAAAAGTCGTGGTATCATGGCCCGCTGAGATCAACAGTTGACGCAGGCCGTACGCTTCTACGGGAAGAGCATCAAGCAATTGCTCTACTTCATACGTTGGGACGCCTCCAGGTACATCAAACCTTAGCACTTCCAATCCAGGCGACATGAACTGCCGAAGTAGCAAGAATTTCGAACTATACTCCGACCGACCGAATATGGCCTCGAAATCCAATGCGCAAAGGTTTGGGAAGAGTGTGGCGGGAGGGAACTGCTCGAAAATCCTCTGTAGGGTACGACCACTCGGGATGAGATGTGGCTTCGGGGGAAGCACGCTACTGAATTTATTAAAAAGAAGCCGGCGCACTCTTGATGCATTCATTCTGAGACGCTCCCACTCAGTGGGAGCTGGCTCTCTGGAAAGATCCTGCAGATCGGAGCACGGTGAGTATTGTCCTGTCAAGATTCAAATGGTATACTTCACTCACGATAGTTTGATCCTCTGCGACCTCCCAGGTGTCTTGCGGTAGACACATAATGAGTGGTGCCAAACTTGACTGTTCGGACCAGAGGATATCGAGGGCGGGACCTGCCAGTGTGGAGCAGGTCATCGCTACGTTCACCAAGTCCTTCGCAGAGGACTTGACGTGTTCTAACACGGCATAGATGATATCTTCAGATTCAAGAGCGCGATGCATGATTAAAAGTTGTTGGTGGTGTTCAAGCATTCGCATAACACCCATTCTTATATATAACCAATCTTACAATGATTCACAGACCCACAGGTCTTCTTGTGATTTGTTCGCTTGGGTGTGACCACTTGTGGAGATCACAACACTGTGGACTCCATCCGCTGCTCCCTTGTGGACAGTATGAGACGTGACAAGACATTGTTCCACTTGGACTGTAGCGGCTATGGTCCACCACTGTCGCTAAAACGGCATTTTTCCGCTAGATGCAGAGTACTTACAGTACGGTGTTCCCTGTAGAATAGCCGAAGCAAAATAGACGCAATGGTTATCCACCGATTCCACGTCAAATCGTGAAAACCTCACCATGTATGTGGAGTAACTTTAGGAGGAGAGCGCTGGCAGGATCCAGGTGCTGAGCACTTTTTCTCTCAGCGTCGGCGCCTGTTGGCTGTCCTCGGAACGCCAGCCAAAGAGGTTTATGAAGGTCCGAGCAGAGATTCAATGTACTGATAATCTAAGCAATAGTTAAAGTCCAGACCGTCCGAGGGATAGCTCAGCTGAATGAGGGGAACATGGTTTGTAATAGCACTTCAACAGTCAGAACCGATTGTTATTTGAAGTCCAAAAGAGACAACTGGGACGCCGATCGTTAAGGAACTTGGGCAAAGGAAGTACGGTGCAATGGCAAGGAAGTTAGAATCCCACTCGCCTTCAGAACAATATGCACTGGAGAACGGTGCACATCTAGATACCTAAAGGAGTCCGACATATCGGAGTTCAAAAGCAGAGGACGCCCATCGTCAAGTCATCGCATTCGGAATCACCCAGTTACGGTGACCGTTGATCTTCTGCGGTTCCTTTCCCTTTTTGCCTTACTGTCTGCCTTTCAAGTTGAGATTAGCGGCGTCTCCAGCCTCCACTGGTCTCACCAACACGATCATTCCTTTGCCGTTCAACAGACTGTCGTCGAACAGCTCCCCGTGCGGACCGTCAAATGCTGCTGCCGCTGCTTCCTATATGGACTTCTTTAATCATACTAATAAAGTCTTCATGCAGGATCCTTCCACCTCTAACTTTGGTTATCCTTTGGAGTTTTCAGACACGACTTCTTTCATTACATCTTTTCCTCTGCTCTGCCGGTCCTCCCTTATTGTTGTCTTCTCAGGTCAAGTCGCTTCTATCTCACGAGAATCTCACGAAATGCGTCGTCTAGCTCGCTCGAGTCGTCATTGTCTGCAGTTGGGGACCGAATCGCTTCGCGTAGAAACGCCCGTGAATCGACCATGATGTATGTAGCTCAAGAACGAGCTATTTCAGGTCCACGCTATGGCATGGTCTGATAACGAGGGTGACAATAGTGACACAACTTTGCCAGCAAGACCATCCCCTATGTTTGCCAAATGAGTACACTGCATGCCCGGTGCATTGCAGTACTTATCGTTGGGCCAACCACATGTCCTATTTCATTTTTTGTACTCGACCTTTTGATCAACGCCTCAGCCACCTTCGGTTGTTCCTAGCGCTTGACGCTCCATCTCATACATAAACGCGCATATAACTCTCATTTCTTCACTCAATCTGATTCCGATTCTGATCCGAGTCCATCGTCATTCACTTACTACGTTTCAGTTCTACATATCTCTATCTCTATCATCATCACTCTTCGCTTCTTATATCACTCGTCTCCATTCCCAATCGAACTTACCCTAATTCTCGATGCGTTTATGAGCTTGTGCGATAACGAAGTTCCCGTTGACTGCGGCGTCTGAAGTGACATTCTTACTCATCGAGATTGTCGCAGACAGTACCGCTTACTGTTTAATTGGTCTCGCAATATGTCCTCCCTCGGTGAATTCATGAGCCAACCTACTAGCTCTGCGCTCTGACGGTACAATATTTAATGACATGATCGCCCATAATGTAGCTTTTGCCGAAGAGTCAGAGACTATCCTTTAGGACATCGTTTAGATCATAGAGCTGAATAGAGTGTACACCATTACTTTTACCATTTGTATGTATATTATTGCATTTATATAGACGATGTGTTGGGTTGTGTCTGGCGTTGAACGTTGAGCGTTGGCATCTCGCGGAGAGACCTGGACAGGCATTAGTAGTAGTAGTTTGCCAGCGTGGCTTCAGGGCTACTTGAGTCGAATCAATTCCTTTAATATGAGTACTCATAAAACCCCAACGTGTCAAGCTGACCATATAGCAAACAATTTTCGTTTCATAAATCATATATGCATATGCATACACATAACACACGACATACACGAGTAGGTAAACCAGTACCAAAACTCTCTTCAGAAACCAACCTCCGTCTCGATAAAATCACTGATGACGACCTTCCTGAGACCAATCAGTTCAAATGATACCCATGTTGCTCACGTCAACGATGCGGCGGTAACGGCCACCAGCGCGTACATCGAGGGGACGACGTTCGGCCAATGACATATGTATGTACCATTGAAGTGTCTTCTCGGGAGAGCGCGGCTCGTCCATGTCAAGATACATAGGGCGCATATGCTCTGGGCAGCGTTCCTTGCAAACAGGCGCCAAGGGATAACGATTGATCATTCCACGGAGGACGGTCGGGTCTTGCTCGTGCGAAATCTCATCATATTGGGAGTAAGGCCAGTATGACCGTGGATAGGCTGGCGCAGGAGTCGGGACGGCGACATTGGATGGAACTTCCCGAATATTTACGCTTGAGCTGTGTGCGAAGCGCGAGAGTGTTGGGTGTAAGGCGCGGGTGGTAGGAAGAGGCGGCGCGGGAGCGGTGGGAGGAGGGATGTTCGAGCGATGAGTACTCGACTTGGCGCGAATACGTTCTGCCAGTCTGCCACTGCGAGTATGGTCGTTAGGGGTCCGTAGTACATCCGCCGAAGCTTGATCAACAGTGGCCTTCAAAGAAAGTGCTCTGAAACCGCTGCGAGGGAGGCCCTCAGTTGGTTGAGGGGAATGGGGAAACTTGGCCAGCAAGTCTGCACGTGTCTTAACGTTTGCGCGAGTCGGCCCATGGTAATATGTGTGTTGCGATAGTTTGCCATGGTAGATCTCGAGCACCCCTGGAGATTGCTCGACGTACACGATGTCGGACTTTTTAAGGGGAGTCTTTCCACCGTATGTGGGTTTGACCGGATCGTCACGAGGAGGCTCACGCCTCCTCCCTTCTGAAGAGAATCCGTATGGCATCGTTTTAGAGTGCTTAAGTGACACCTTCTGGTCGTCGTTGGACCTGAGTGTATTGATTAGTATGATGATAATGAGCAGAAAACGAAAACGGTCGACTCACTTTTGGAACATTTTCTTGAACGAATTCATGATTGATATAGGGAAACAAGGAATGTAAAGTTGCGAAGAATATGAGGTGGTAGTGTGTGTGCTGGTGTAGGGAATCTGCGTTTCAGTATATAAAGGTTGGGCTACTGTGGACGCACCACAGCATCTACAACCACAACCACAAAGCAATTGCTCAATATCTGAAAACCATTCAAGTGTGGATGCTCCGGCGAATGTTCCGATTACCCACCTAGAATCAAATCAGTGGTATCGATGTGGCCCCATTTGCATCACAAAGGTAGAATATGCGACAACCAACCAATAATGGGCCACAGTTGCCACAAGCTGGCACAATGAATGCATCACGCGTCCTGCTCATTAACTCATTAATACCTCGAGCTCATAGCTTGTGCTCAATGAACGCACGATAAGATTATCGGCAATGACGGACAGCACGCTGACTCGCATGCACGGAACACAAGGATAGGGAGCGACGTGTACAGTGACACTAACAAAAAACAGCTCGCTTCATCCTTTAACAGTCTCGGTGCACCCGACCGGCTATATCTTAGTCCAAGTTGCTCAACATCGATAAAGATGCTTGGAGTGCATTCAGGCTGAAATATCAAGTAACCTGAAGGTGATGTAAACAGTCAACCAATTATTGATATTAATTCCGACGGAATTACACACATGGTCACTATGGCCTCTGGTATGACTGGAGGATGGACTCGGGACCGATCATAACCCAGAATGAGGCTAACATTGTTGATCTCTAGAAGTGTCGAGATACTCTAACTCCCGTCAGAACGAGCGGATCGTCGGCTCCAAGTCATGAAGGTCCAGTTACCTGTTTCATGGTCAAACGACTCAAATCTGGGACTCAGATTTACTTACTCTAACCATGCAATCCGCATACAAATCGTCGTACGCCTGTACATCATCATACGTGAATATCCCTGACAAAGCTATGGTCGCAATCCAGAGTTGCAGCGATGCAGAAGGGCATGATTGCAATGGTTTTTACTTTGAAAAGAAATTGGAAATTTACCTATAGCAATGCGTCGGTCCGCAAAAAAGTATGTAGGGATTAGGTGGCTGGAAATAAATTTGAACGGCATCGACAATTCGCAGTCTAGTTTGAAAAGAATTTCATTATGGGAGCTAAGAATTTTGCCAGTTTGCTTTGCGACAAAGAGGCGTCGCGTCAGCCGGTATGTTTGTCTTTGTTAGGAATGGAAGCTCAGCGCTCAGCATTCCTCATTTGACAATATTACCATATTTACTTGGATGCAAAGAATCAAGACGCTAGTACTTACCACTGACATGTTGAAATTCCGCGGGTTGTACTAGTACCGTGACTGTCAATGGTCACGGCGCAAATTTCTTGAGTTGATTAGTTTTGTCACTTGGAATTGCAAGATGATCGAACACGAGAACTGGCAGGGACTTGGAGAACTATAGTATAAGACACGGGGGCATACATGTACGAACCTTGACGTAGCGAAGGCGTAACGAGAACATGACGATAACACAACTAAGCGTTGTGAATGCAAAGTGTGTAAGTCGCAAGAAAACAAACCTACTGCAAAGTGCGAATCCTCTTCGAAGCCGCAGCAACAGAAACAAACATTTGAGCATCACTCTTACGCTTTCGATCACCTGCACTGGTTGGGATATTATCCTTCTCCGACTTCGAGATAGTAAGAGTAAATGTTGGTCGAGATGGATTCCGCCTGGGGTGACGGGTCCCCTACTACACCGTTTGACTTGCCTTCCTGCCGCAGTTCTGCCATCTGTTTCCCGCGATCAACGGGGCGTGTATCCAATGAAGAGTTGTATGTGAAAATGGGTAATAATGCCGAGATATCAACGTCATGTGCCAACCTATAGGCTTGGGTTCACCCAACTGCTGCCGTTCAATGATATGGAAATATTAGTCTCCCCGAGTTAAGGTGTGTGGAGACCTGAGACTGACCTCCTCCGCCAGTCATTGTTGGCCTTGAAGTTGAGAAAGGACACCGCGACACGAAGTGTCGCACAACTTTCATGCAGCAACGAATGATATAATGTGTGACCTGCGACGAATCTGAGCCTGGTGCTTCCTTGCTTCGGTGCGGGGTAAAGGAGCGTATCAATTCTCGAAGACCTCGATTCTTGGAGCACAGTCCCTTCGAGGATATTATAATGACAAGCTTTTCAGCAATCGGTTACAAAATATGCCTCTTACAAAGAACGTGTTCTGTCAGGTATATGTACCGTCTGGACACATCACGGTACTACAATCCAAATCCTCAATGACATCACTCAGCAAGAAGCTTCTCCACTGTAGCATCAATCGCCTGAGGAGTAGTTGTCGATGCCCAACGGTTCACGACTTTCCCGTTCTTATCAATCAAGAACTTCTCAAAGTTCCACTGCGAGTTGGAAGTTGCGTTAGTTGCATGCATATCGGCGATCCGACCCCACATAACGAACCTTGATTCTTGAGAGACCCATGAGGCCAGGCTTCTCATTCTTGAGCCATTGGTAAACAACGTTCGTGTTGTCACCATTTACGTCGGACTTCTTCATAAGAGGAAAGTTCACTCCGTGATTGAGCTCGCAGAAAGATGCAATGGCGGTATCGTCACCAGGCTCTTGGCCGCCAAACTATTGGGTGTTATTGAGCTCTATATCGCAGTGAAACAGTGACTGGAACAACCCACCTGGTTGCATGGGAAACCGAGAATGACGAGGCCACGTTCCTTGTACTTATCGTACAAAGCTTGAAGGCCTAGGTGTCCTTTGTCAGTTGCATATCAACTTCGAGAACCGTAGACTAAACCCTTGTATTGGGGAGTGAAACCACTGGAAATTCCGAAGAGTGAATCGCTCGTAGGTCTACCATAGTTACTGACTTACCACTTCGACGCAACATTAACAATTAAGACAACTTTCCCTTTGAGCTGTTCAAAGTCATACGTTTGCCCACTAGGCAACTCTGTGTTCAGATCATAAAAAGTGTTTCCAGAGGAAGAAGACATCGTTCGTCGTGAAAGTGAAGGTAGTAGTTGGAGACGTGAGGGTGCCGCAGTGACAGGTTGACTCCACCGGAATGGCTGGAACGACCGGCGGCAAGTCCCACCGGTTTCACAGAGTGGGACGTGGCTATATCGCGCCGCCCCGGATGATCCGGATCTGATGCTGGAATATTGTGTAACTAAGCATGATTGGGTCCGCGAAGGAGTGAGACTTTTGAATGATACAACCATCATCAACGAGCAAAATGGATGGCGCTTAGTGATATGCATCTGGACACGTGTTTATCTTATCTTTCGTACAACGTTTAGTCAATGCCGGCACCAGCAGGAATTTAACTGGATCTGCCATCCGAGTCTGCCCACCAACTCACAGGCTGATAGATTCCGACCACGCTACTTAGCAGGCAAAGGTCATATATTTCCACCACAGTCCTTCCAGTCGTTCACACGCTACGGGCTATTGTATCAAGTATACAGGACAACGATATCGAGATGTTCTTACCACGGCTGTGCAGAGTGTTCAAATGGTGGTGGGATATAATACACTGTACTGGATCGAGTCACGTACGAAGTCATTGCACTGGTATTCGCGATAAGTTTGCACAGATTTAAATTGGTGAACCGGGGTATAGCTTTGCTGAATGAAATCCTAGGGCGGCCTAACCATCCAACTTTGTCTTGCAGTCTGTGAGGTTACCAACCCAATCTCCATCCGTACAGGGGAAACGATCTGAATATCATCCGAGTCAGTTTGAAACTATAGTGTGGCTAGAGTCAATTTGCTGTATACGCGACCAAAAACACCCGCCCACGCGAAAGTAAGCCGACCCCGTTCCAAGAAAAACATGTGCAAGCTGCGCGTGGAAAACGGACAGGCGGTAGCAATGTAAGGATGATGATCTCTTCATCACAACACGCCCCAATCAGGCGACCAGGCTTGTGGATGAGAAGGTCCGGCGGGTTCGAATTGTATGTATTTTCCGACGAGCAGTGACTCGCGTATTGAGGTGCCAGATATGGACATAGAAACAATCATCGGTGGCGTCTTTGTCCAGGTTTAGGGGTATGATATCGAGGAAGAGCATAGGCAATTTTACTGCCCAACACACTGATTCGGTGGCTTGGGCGATGCGGAAAGCAGTACGCATGTCGGAGACCTCATTCCGACCAAGGAACCTTGATATGTGTCTCTGACTGCAGAGCCTTCGCGAGAAGATGACCATGTCAATGACTAGAATAACAAACAATATGCTGAAGAGAACCTCCAAACTCATGATTGTTGACTCCAAAGATAGCACATAGCCGCGCGTATGGGCCTCGGAACGATGGGTTGACATGTACGACAGTCATTGACGAAGATGAACGGCAGAGCTTCGGACGGAGATACGTGATTCGGCACTGAGGCGACTCAGCAGGTTCTTGAAATGCGTACACGGTCATAAGGCTCGAGCCAATCGCGACACTCGTTTGTTGGTCGGCTGTGGAATTGCTGCACACGACCATCTCGTCGATCTAATAAAAGACACTGCTTATATTGAGCAGTAGAGTTCTTAAGATAGATCAACTTACACTCTTCGCATGTCCCTTCCTCGAATCAATCACTGGTATTGATGTGGTGGACGAAGCAATGTCACCCGTTGTCTACACGATAGTAGAATTATCACAGATTCCAGGCTGTCTCACAACAGAAACAAGATAATCGCCTGGTGCATCAAAAGTATGTTTATACTCCAAGGAAGCACAGAAAGAGTCCGGATGGGAACGCTAGAATGAAGCCGACCGAAATTTCACCCAAAATATACGGTGATCTTGTCCAACATCAGTCACAAAGACAAAATCGGGTAAGAAGATTATGACCACAAGATCTTACAGAGCGTCGACAGTAAGACCACTCAGCGACCTGAGCTGAGAGGCAAGCGTGTATGGGCCACGTCCGGGAAAGGTTGGCGTTTGCATTACAATCCCGAATGAAGAGACTGCCCTGTCCCGACATCCATACTTTGCACCCAATCGGGACCCTCAAAAGTGGCCATCAGTGGCCATCAGTGGCGGCATCCGTGTCAGTGAGTCGTGAGTGTAAACATAGAAGATGAGAAAACCGGTTGAGTCCAATGATTGGCAGGAGAGCAGAACAACGCAACACCTTCGATTAAGGATGAGAAAGCCAACCAGCCCGGTACACCAAACGCATCTGCAGCCGCGCAAAGCTGTGCTTCAGGCAGAGCCACTGGGCTAGCGCTGGGAGCCCTGCTAAATTGATGTTTCGAGATTGTAACAAGTCGTAAAATGAGCTCATTATATGACACGATGTCGAGAACTGACAAGCTGTCACTATCGGACGGATCCGTTAATTCCGGACAAACCCGAAGTGCGGCGCAACCGGACGGAGACTGCCGAAAATTCGGATTGCCGCCCCCGCCGTATCTGTGCCTCGGGCAGGGTCGTGTCAAACTTGTTCCTTACCACAACATTGTGTACTGCAACTCAAAGGATATTGCGTACTACATCTATGTCGTAGTCCGTTGACAGACAGTGCCCAAATGATTCGGAAAGTGCGGTTCTTTGGATTTTCCATTCATAATTATCACAACTGACTCCCAGGCATCAACACTGCCAGTTTCGTACTCACCAACAATCGGTGAGATAGATACAGGATGCTGGCAGCCTGCAGCAGTACCTGTGCCTCGGTCGCAGCATAGCGCTCTTGCGTGAAAGAGAACTTTGTACCGGACTACCGGATGGTATCATCTCAATACCATCGCAATCGTCCAGCTGTACCGTCGGGTGTCAGTAAGTACTGTAAGCTACAGTGTGCCGCCCGAGGCTACTGCGTCAGGAAACAGAACACACTTTCTACACCCGCTAGGCCTCTTTTCTAAGTGCACGGCCTATTTATCCCCTGATTATAGCGCCGCACTTAAGGCGTTTCGTCATATCCGAGACAGGTAACAAGGCGTTCGGGATGCACACCGGTGCCCTGATTGTTATTTCTGGCAGCCGTGAGTAGCAGCTCTCATTTCCGCCTTGCCACTGAGAAAAGAAATTTGTAGGTTCCGCGGGAGATGTTATCGAGAGTGCCTCGTTTCATGATTCAAAGATGGTGGTGCCTCGGCACCGAAAATCGTTCAGGTTTACAAAGATGTTCACAGTATACAGTGCCTGTTGCCGGAACAAGTGTCACGAGTTGATCACTGCTTCCTGGACATCGCTCTTACCCCAGAGTAATCCCGATATGACTCGTACTGGTCGTCAACGGGGCCTGAGTCATGCGCTGCAGTGCGTGTCTAGCAGCAATGACGGCGTATAAATGGTATGAGGATCCCAATCATTTCGATATTCATAGTCACTGTATCCCAACATCGTCCATATAAGCAAGACTCGTTCACCCCAATATTTCTAACAATATGTTTACCTCCTTGACCCGCTTTACAATTTATCTTGCACTCTCATCATCTGTTCTTGGTGCTGCTATACCCGCAGCCACAGTTACCACATCTACCGCGGCCGCAACTTCTACATATTCTGCAGACTCCCAATATAGGGAAGCTAGTGGTGCTCTGTGGAAGAACAATGTTCACGACAAGGTCTATTCCTCTGAAGCACCTACGACAACACAGACTACTGAAGGTGACCTCTCAAATACGTCGAGTTGCAAGTTTTTACTAACATACACTCCGTTGCACAGTTCTCCGGCGGTCCGGAGAGCTCTGGAAGGAGAGCGAACACGAAGAGGTAGACCCAATAACGGGCCCCTCTCGCCGATCCGGCGAGCTCTGGCGCGGATTGGAGCATGAGGATATTTCCGCTTCCCCCTAATGCTTGAGGTTAGTTCCTGTACTAGCCTCACCAAAGCTCCTTCTGACGCCCCACGTACAGTTATTCCGAGTCATCCTGAATCTGGTATTGATTGTTCATGATTGAGGAACTCCAGCCCTTGCTGTGTATGCGGATATACAGCAAGTTGGCTACTTTGAGCCTTTGCTATTCATTACCGACCTTCGCATGATTCTTTTTTTGGCCAGGTGCCACCTTATACGTATTAATACCCATCCTACGGCGGGACCTGTGGGCCTCTGAGGGCATACCTCACTGTATACCGGTCCATTTCTCCAATGGACATCTTATTACTTTTATTTTGTTAAGTTACTTGCGGCTGTTTGTGTTTGTAGTACAAGTAGAAATGTAGTTGTTATTTCGTGGAATTCCTACTGAGACGGCCTTACGAGAAACCTGATTCAATTGAAAATGTGTGCATAGCCTGAAGCCTGGGGGCGTGTTGGTCATTTGCTGTGGTCTTCGCGTAATGGCGCCTCTGTTAATAAGACATTTAAGTGAATCATTTCTGGAATAACAGTGCGGTGAACCGGGTATGCAGTATTAATGTTTCCAAATTGAGACATAATTTAGCCGTACTGCGTTCATGGTATATTCTTAGATCATGCCAGCGAGGCGACGTTGCTTATTTTTAGTAGGGCCTTCAAAGTATTCAGCTACGTCAGCAACTGATTACAATCTCATCGATAGTACCTATAGCCCCCACCAGTCTAGATAGTACCTTGAATGACGGAGAACAGTTGATCATTTGACCTCCTCAATCACTGATTATCCAAATCTTTTGCCATCAGAATTCCGTTGCAATATGAAATCTAAGCGCCACATGTCCACCCTATCACTGTTCCAACCAAAATTAGATTTTTCCGACACAGGACCTAATACTCCAAGTACTCTGTGACTGTACTCATTATGTTCCCTGGTACCCCATTACATATAGCCCTTGTTCACATTTTCATACCATGACACGCTTTGTATCGGTCATGGCGACTCGGCAAGGTGGAGAGCTCGGCAACACTCGGCATCACCATAATCGATCTCCGCATCATGCAATATTTAACCTCCGCAGACAAATTTTTTGAAATCGCATTTTACCATCGCGTTTTACCTCGCTGTCTAATCACTAGCCTCTGTATCGACGTTTCAACGATGGCGCATTCGAAGGGCCTTCGTGTATGAGTGGTAAGTTTTCTCTCTGAAACTAGCTTTTCTTTATGGATGATATCTATATCACCAAATCCGAAGCCTTCATGGCGGTGGTGAAAACACTAGAAAAAAAACTAAGAACAGCCATCTGATCCTCCTTCACGTTTTCATTTACGCGTATAGCATTGATGCTGATTCTATTTGTATCCGCAGGTGGTGGAAGTATGATGCTATACCGTATAGGCACGGTGGGCTCACGTCATTTCTTGGTGCAAGATGTCTCAAGAGGTGATTTACCGAAATCAACTCGTACGACTATGATATCTTCACCAAGTGTAAGGCCCTAAGGCAATATCGGAGCTCGTACGGTCCAAGAACATCCATCTGACTTTTTTTGATATTTCTCTGCGCGTTGTCGAGCATTATGGTCTCTGTTATAATGTCTTGTGCGTGTATTGGTACATAGTCGTGTGTAGGCAGATATTAACGTGAATAGTTATCACAAACATGGCACGGGTAATGGTAATGACCATTAATGGGTGAACGTGTATATCTGGGATGGCGATAGTCCAGTATGATGGTATGTAAGTATCGATCACGGAGGTCTCAAGAGGATATTGCAATGAATATGATAGAGCCGAAAAGTACCTGGTCATGTTTTCTTTCCTAACATCTCCGATATCTTGACTTCCCTTTCTCTCTAAGAGAGGGTGAGTCACAACACTAAAAAATCAATACACGCTCGTACCTCGTCTGTAGCTTTAGGAATTCTCAATTTTTCGACCTCGCGGGCGCATTCTGCCATGCGGTCCTCCGTCTCCCTTACAGTCTCCCTCTCCGCTTCCAAGCGTTCCTCTTGAGCCTTGACCTCCGCTTTCTTGCCTTCCCATCGCGCATGCTCCTCTTCAGCACGAGCCCTTGCTTCAAGGAATGTGCTCTCAGCTTTCTGAGCGGCCATGAGTGACTTGTAGTGGGTTGCCTCTGCTTTGGCTTCGAGTTTGCAGGCGGCCTTGTGAAGATCTTGCAGAGCCGCGAGAGACTGGAGAGCTCGTGCCAATGCAGCCTTTTCCGACTTGGACTCTGTCTTCAGAAGCTTGGAAAACCGCTTCGACTCTCGCTCTATCGAAAGACTTCAGTTATGAAGGAAATTCGTAATGACGGAATGCGCACGCTCATCCTTTATGATTTTATCTTTCTGTTTCTTACTCAAGAATCTCTCAGCGGTGACGCCCCTGAGGACCACGGCCTCATCTACATCAGGCTCGGCGTTTGGGCCGGTGAGAACTGATCCGCTCTGAAAGGCCGCTGTCGCCTCGGCCGTTGATATATTCGTGCGATTGCTTCTTGTTGTGCGCACGGAGGCTTTTCTTCCCAGCGAAGTGCTGTGTCCGCCACCCATATTACCAGCGAGAGATGCATCTTCATCCTCGTCTATGTCCTCCGTACATACGGGAAGCGATTGAATGGACGGAGTCCTGCGGTCTGAAAGATCTTCGCTGTGGCGGGTCGTCAACTCCGGGTGGCTGTCTTCCATAGTATTATCTTCCTTTAGAGGCGGGGCCTTTAGACTTGAGATGTTACCGTTTGGTCTAGGAGTATTGCCTGGATTGTTTGGCATCGGGACGCTTTGCCCCTGACTACTGGATTCTTTGATGTTCTCGGAAGGGTACTCGAGTGCGTCGAAGTACTGTGTTTTTTCGCTGGGTGTTGAAGACGAAACAAGCTCCATTGTTGATGTATTTGTCTAGGCAGAAATCTTAGGCTGGCTTGGAATACGACGTCATTGTCGGCCATTCATAGGACGACGTCACCGATCATGGTGACGTTCTAGATGACTCAGCGCTCAGCGATCGTGATTATGTCCTCATGTCCGGTCACGCCAAGACACCGCACCCAATACATCGTGATCGAATTAATGTTGCGTAGTGCACAAAACTGCGCCACGCACCATCCACAGTATTTGACAGTAGCAAGTATTGCAACATGTACACGAGGAGAACGTACAATCTAAGTGACGCGCATAACTATACAGATTCAAATGGTAGCGGTGCGACAGCGATGACAAACTTGCAAGGAAAGAAGTGAGTGGTTGAAATTCAAGGAGTGACATGTTGAGGTCATCGAGTGATGTCGCGAAACGCTGTAGAGGTCTACCAGAGGTCCTCAAGGTCCCGCGTGCTGACAGCAAGCAGCTCGTCATCGTGGTCAGCGTATAGAGCCTTGACGATCTCCTGCTCTTTCCATCCTCCGCCCTTGACAGGCTCCAACGTGTACTCGATCGACAGTGCCGATAAGGGACCGCCATAAGCATGCGAAATACCTTCAATATTAACACTGGTATTGAGAACACCGCGCAATATCTTAGTGTGACAGAGCTTACCTGTGTCGATGATGAGCACCTTCCCGTTGCACCTAGCTGCAATGCCGTCAAATTGTGGGGTGTGACCCATCACCATACGGCGAGTGCCCGTCTTTTCGAGAACATCATCGACCAACCGACACACCTTCTTTTCATCTTCATCGGCCCAGCCACGGTACCACAACGGCCCATCACCACCGTACAGGCGGGCTTCCTCGCGAGTCGTGCCTGCAGGAAGACCAGGGTACGAACTGGGTGGGTGTGGCTGAGGCTGAGGCTTGCGCTCTCTCAGCCTGTGTAAAAGCGATGCTCCAAGGTTATTAATAGCGCTTGGGAATGGCTGAAGATTGGGATATGTAGGAGCCAAACCACCATGCACAAATGAGAAAGCAGCATGCGAAAGAGGTCCTGCATTGGCACGTGCAAATACGCTTCCCTCTGGTGCTGGGTAATCGGTGTTGGGAGGGCCAAGTAAACCGTGAAGAGGAAGTCGTGTAGCGGTAGTGTAATTTTCTGCCCATGCATCCGCAAGCCAGCCAGTTGTAACAGCTTGCAGGCGACTCTCGCGAGGCTCAAAAGTCTTCTTCTCCGACTCCAAGACGTAACTGTGGTCAACCTCAACGACAACGCATGTTCCGTAGGTGACACCACTTACCGCCAATCACCTGTCAGAGAATTGGTTCAGTCATGCACTCCACGTTATGAAATGTATTGCATACCTATCGCATTCATATACTCATGATTTCCGAGGACCGACAACACAATGCCGTTGACAGCCAAGGCTTGCTCTCGAAGGTCTTCCATCCAATTGAACAACTCGATCGTATCGTCACCCCTGCAAAAATACTGAGCGTGATTGGAACACCAGTCAGAAGCCCTTACCTGTCAATGATATCACCAGTCTGCACAAGAACATCCACTTTGCCGCTCCAATTATTGTTCTCGTCCACGACGCTAGCCATTTGTAAAATACGCTCTGCGTTCCCGATGTCACCATGTATATCGCCTACAGCAATAATTTTGCGCGAGAAACGTGGACGAGGCTCGAGTGTGTATTCGTGCTCATCGGTATCGATGACTGCTTGTGCGGGCTGTTCTACAGTTTTGAAGCCGAAAGGTGCCTGCACGGCGGCTTGGGCGTATCCGATGAGACCTGACAGAGCTAGTGAAAACTGCAGTCCAGTTCCGAGGTGAGGTGCGGGTCCAAGAAGCGAGGAAGAGGATTGTGCATAATACGCAAGTGATAGCGCAAGTAAAGGGAGGGCTATGAAAGCTAAAGTTGTTCCACGAGGCATCACTGTAGAATGTTGTGCGCCTGTTCGATACCACAGAGTAATCAGTGAAGAGGCATACTAAGTAGAGCGAACTATATAACTCACTATTGGAACCACAACAGTTTGGAGCACTTAAGTGAAACCGCTCCCTAGATCAATGAAATGTCTGCTACTCGGAATCACTCCTGGGGGGAAGGAGAAGTCTCAAGCTGTGTTGCAGGGTTGCGGCGTGGTTCAGTATTTGAAGTTTGAACAAACACTCAACACCTCAATTGATTCAGCCTCAAGGCCGCAGTTGAATGAAGAGAGCAAGGTCACCAACGTGGTTGGCGGCGTGTACTATGGCTGTCACAACCAAATGTGGTTTAACTGCCCAAATCGGGTGTGATGTAAAAATGGTAAGTACTTGTCTAGGGAAGACCGGAAATAACATAGCGTGCATGCATGTACGTACGGTACTGACCTTAACTGCGCGGTGGGACATCCCACCAATGCCTGTCAATGTGTAGGTAGTACGGAAATCATAAATGTGGATATGATACATATTAATATGCCAGCATGTTTGCCATTTCAAAAATATAACGCAGAAACACCTTGAAGACCCTCCTTCACCACCTGCTTAAACCGGTGCCTCAGCGGTTTGTTACGATGCAAAGACAACTCGAACTGGAGTGACTTTAGCGGAATAGAACCATCGTAAACAGGTTTCTTCGACAACACGCTGTAGAACGCATGTGTCCCAAGCCTGGGGACGTTGACAATGAGAACGACGGAGGTCAATGCTCACGATAACACAGAAAATTTGTGCAGATCGCAAACTCCTCCGCTCTCGCGTGCAACCTTGTTGCACGACTTGTGGCATATTGCGTTATAGGTATATCTGATAACCTGTTTGATAACATCCGATTTCGGTAAGCAACATCAACCTAAGGTTGACATATATCGGATTCAACCTACTTTTAAGGAATTTTGCATTCTTCACAACATCAGTACCCCAGCCCATAATATAATGGTGCATCTTCCTTGCGGCAATGGTGAAACTTTGATAGACATTGATATGTGCAGTATGCAGCCCATTCAGCTGGGTGTCCGTGTAGATCATATGACTTCTAGCTTTCGCTGTCCTGGGGACATGTATTTGACGCTCAACAAAGGACATTCCATACTCACAGTAGCATCTTACAGGTGAACGTAACGCCAGGACGGTGTTTCTTGTCGACTGTGAGTGAATACTCAAGGTCTAAAACGTTGAATGTTGGAAGTCTATCATGTATACGAGAAGGAAATACTCACCGTACCCATTATACCTCGAGTAATCAGCCATGACCGAGAAGTTATACGCTAGCTAAAGACTAGCTCAGTAGTGTATCAAGACAATACTAACATTGTGAAGTACCTAGCAAAAGACTAGCTAGTAAAGTACGTCAGAATACACGATGAGTACAATATGATGACGAGCATACCTCAGTACTGTATCAAGATTAGTAGTTGAGTAGCCCGCTAGCCAACAGAGGTTAGATATATCGATCAGCAGCCACACCTCAGGGGTTCTGTTTGCTTTGTACGGTCCCAGCCGCTCTACTAGTAGGCCTAGCAGGGACTTCAGGTTCTACCGGGAGGACAAGGGGATCAGACTGGATCAGATCATCAGCTGATTCAGTTTCAGAGAAAATGATGTATCACGACTGCGCACTAGCCTTCCGACTCTAACATCTTTACTGTTCGACCCTAACCTTCCAAAGGTGAGTATGTTGAGTATTGGAAGACCGATTCAGATATAGTATGGCACTCTGAAAGACTATACCTCAGGACAGCCTCGGCTTGCGCCTCTCAAAGATTCAGCCTGTGTAAAAACGACGATCCAAGGTTATTAATTGCCCTCGGGAATAGCTGAAGATTGGAGTATGTAGGAGCCAAACCAACATACACAAATGAGAAAGGGCTATGAAAGCTAAAGTTGTTCCACGAGGCCCATCACTGTAAAACATTGTGCCTGTTCGATACCAGAGTAATCAGAGAAGAGCCATACTAAGTAGAGCACACTATATAACTCACTATTGAAACCACCAGAGTTAAATGAAACCCACTCCCAAGATCAACGGAACGTCTGCTACTCTTCGGAATCACTCCTGGGGGGAACGAAGCTACACTGCAGGGCTGCGGCATGGCCTAGTATTTAAAGTTCAAACACGCGACACCTTAACTGATTCAGCTTCAAGGCTGCGGTGGAATGAAGAGAACAAGGTTACCAACGTGGCTGGCGGCCGCGTGCTACCTGCAGCACGGCATGTTGTGAATCAATATTGCGTTATTGTGTCTAATTATATAAATTTCAAGTTTTACAGCTGTGAATATGTTCCGACGCCCATATGTATGCTGCAGTTCAAGTTGCTGAATGTTGAACGCTAACTTCGTTGTCGTAGGTTTGACCGTGGTAAGTTGCACGTTGATTTTGACGATAGCTGCCATCTTCGAGGCCCTGACATCGCGTATTATAGCTTACCTCCATTCAAATGCAAGCGTGACATTGATCCATCATGCAGAGAACGTTGATGTATTCAACATCATAAATATTCCCGACTCACGCCGATGACGCCAACTACATAAATTAGCTTACATGCGCCACATGCACCATATAACTAATAAGTACCACAGACGAAACTTAGAATCAAGCGAAAACAAAATTCTCCTGCTCCCTCCAGAGCACCAGACAAGCGTCAACTCCATCGAGCATCTCCCGTGCTACACACCATTGCCAGTCGATATATGCACGCGCTCCTGGAAAGCAATTGAGGTCATGCACGTTGCTGCGTCGGAGTCAGCCACGAGCTTAGCGTTATATTCTCGAACGCCAAGGATCAGGCGTGGTCCCAATACAAACATCTGCACGACCTGGAAAATTTGAAGAAAACCATTCCGGGGTATATTGGCCCTATAGAAATGATGAACCGTGGTCACATACAGGGGTCAGTGAAAAACCGGCATACCGCTAAGATCGCTGGAGACAAATTAATTATGAGAGTGAGACAAGAAACAGCAACAAAGCTAGCATATCCAATCCTTCAGCGGAAAAAAGAGAACAATATTCACAATAGGAGCTCACCCGTAAAGTAAAACACGTGAGTTTTAATCAACATCGTGAAACAGTCCCCAACGATTCCTCCCGTCGAATGTTGCCGTATTTCACGGAAGTGTTTTATAGCAATCCAGACTGCCAGACACAGTGCAAAGACCTCCCACACAGCGCCAAGTACCCAAGTAATGGCAGCCAGAAGCGAGGTATCTGCTGCATCAATCGTGCACTGATAGGTGCCGGAGAGGATGAGTTCCTCTGGTATACATTGATGAGCTCCATGCATATTTTTTTCATCCACAATTGAGCGTACCCCCTGAAGCCTGCATCGTTAAAATTACGGCGACCACTCCGCTGAAGATGATGGTAGCCAGGAAGGTGATGAGGAGAAATATCAGGATCTTTCTGGATCGCTGATACATGGCATATAACCGAACGATCGTGATGACTTGCAAGATGTTTTAGTCAAGCCAATATCACTGAGGTCTTGCAACTGCAAAGCTCACCCCCCAGCATTGCAGTCACCACAGCATTTGTCCAAACCCATATGATGTACACAATCCAGCCTGACGAATCCAGTTAGTGATCAGCCCCGGGTAACACACTCTAAACAGACTCACATCTGTAGTAGTCATTATAGTGAACCAACATCCTGGTCAAAAATCACACTCACCTCTACAGAGCGCCACGGTTAATTGAAGGGGGTGAATAGGCATCGGTGCAAAAGACTCACTGCGTCTGTCAACCAGATTGTTGGTACACTGACTGTATGTCGCAGGTCAGAAGAAGAAAAGAGCGTGAAGGTGAGTAGACATATACTTAGTATGTTCAAGCTGATTGTGAAATATGGTTCATTAGTACAACAACAGTGCTGAGCGTTCCAAACATACACAGCACACAAAATTCCAAGATAGCGCACCTAGGATATTTTCAAGAGTCAGCATGAATCGCCAACCACACTAGTATAATGCAAGCTACATACACCGAGATACAGAACGGTCATAAGTGACCGACGTTGCCTCTATCGCAAATCAATTTTGTCCCTCTGATGTGAGGCGTTGCTTACCCAGATCAGTTCGATCTAAAATCATTCTTAGCGTGATGGCTGCTCCGGTCATACCATCAACATACCTCTTGTCCAAATGTAAGTGCTGTAAATAGTTGTGAGAAATCAATAATTCTTTAATACCATCATGCTCACCCCAATCATACGTCACTACAACAGCGGCGGCAACTGCGAAACCATATTCAAGGTTAGATCGAGACGTCAGCGGCAGCTACAATCTCCGACTGCTCTCCACGAACCCGTATAATAACTGCCAACATGATATGAATTAATTGACGGCCACCAACTAGGGTCGTCCGAGACTAGGGTCATACTAGTAGTACTGTTAGAGGATGTATGAGTGTTAGAGCGTCGGTGCGAGTGGGGAACTTGGTGGACGTAGTACGACGAGGCAGTTGGTGCTAGATATACAACTATCCAGTGCCTGTATGGCGGAAATGAGCATAATCAAATGCATTAGATCCGTTCCTGTCTTGATTGACCTAGTATATGATGGCAATTAACGACCGGCGGGGACGGTGGACTGATGGGGGCACGCTCCACATCAGGGCATTCGCGAACCTGAGATGCACTCGAGACACTGGGAGTCTCTAGTATAGATTACATTGTCCTACATAGAGTATCACTCTGAAAGGACAGAAATTAGAAAAAACAAACAAACAGAAATCAGACCAGGAGTCCTCGGAAGAGCAACAGATTACAATTATGGTAGGGACACACATGGTTCGAAATGTTGAAACACTGCAAAAGATGAACATCCTGATTTCGGCAACTGAGTCATTCCTGGTGTGCATTTAGTACCACCGAGACTTCGATCATATGAAATAAGGCCACTGTGTCTACCACAGGTGAAAACATAGCCTCGATAGGTTAAGAGCGAGCATTCATTTCCATCATAACAACCGCTGACAATATCCGGCTGCGGAATGGTGGGACACTGGTACTATCGAGTCCACAAGAGTACCATAATGCGAAGAAACATCTTGAGAATGGCAGAAGCGAGAAGGATTGTAGAAAGTCGGTGGGTTCGTGGCATCACTGACACAGCTGATGTGAACAGGCGAGAACCAATGTATACCCGTGGCATACTGACATTACAGTTAAATGAGTAGTATTTGCGCGAGGGAAAAAATGGGTCGTACATACCTCCCTTGTATTACTATGAGCGGTGCAGAATGACTGGCGAAATACTTAGGCTTGAGCAGCAGTGGGCCTAATAATTGTGGGATCTCCTAGTAGAGAGGAGGAAACTGGTAGAGTGAATGTCTGAGGCATGCACGAGGAATTAACTTGATCGCATCTGATACCGACTCGAATATCGGATGCTTCAAAGTTCACGTACCTGTGGCTCATCTCGACAAGGCCGATCTTGATGGGTTTTCTGCTCGCGAGTGATGAATCGAAGGGCCAGAAGATGACGTGGTTGCGACTTCCGTTGGCAACTATACATCACAAAACCACAACCACCTCACATGTAGTTGCTGTGATGTTGTTAACCACTAAAACGCTCGCGATAAGGAGTAAAAGGGCAACTTGGCATAATTGGGACTTATCAGATGGTCTGGATGATGTCGGACTCCACATACCCCATGGTTATTCTCCTTGATCATGAATTATCCTCGAGGTGATTGCCGTGTGTTGCAGGTCGAGAGTACCATGATATTGGCTCACTTGTACGTGAAGGCTTGAAGCTTCGAGAGCGAGAGTGGCGGTTGTGAAATGGGGGTATAATGATATCTGAATGGAGACGGCCCAGATAAGATGTGATATGATGGAGGATGTCAGGGAACAGGGAGGGTGATAGAGAAGCCTGAAGCACAGGCGATTCAAAGCGTGGCAGGCGAGGACCACTGGACTAAACTCATGGGATGCCAGAAGTGTGGAAACATGGTAGAGACCGATAGAGATGATGGCGAGTCGAGGAAGAGTGATACTGTTCTTGGGTTACCGGAGATGATGCATATGAGCGATTAGCATCCATAGATGAGATTGGGCTGACGCATTGACGGGTGGTGGATGGAGGCAATTTGATCAGTTTACGGTACTGGAACACGCATGAGATGGAGGGTTGCCTGCGCGTGGCTTCGATGTTGGATATAATATTTATATTATGTAACAGGTTCTCGCGCCGCTGCTCTCCGAATGATGTCCAGCCGTCAGGCCTTCAGGACCCTCCAAAATGGCCCTCATTTAAATAGGCACGGTTCTGCACGAGGACGTCATCTTTCTCAACGGCAGTGTATATCGTCCATCATGAATCTGCAGATTTGAGCAAATGTGCTGAGTGCAACAGAGTGCAACGGTATTTCTCTAGATATACTTCAACCTACCACAAACATTTTAAGTGCCACCTACTATTGACTTGCAGGCAATCTGGCATGGATTTCATGACCGAGGCAAAGGCTGACCATGACGAGAGTATGTCTTTCCTTCCATTCTACCACCTTATCTGATTATACGCAGCCCTTCATACTGTCTGCAATGAGATGAGCATACTTTCCACCACTCATCATGTGTCGTGCGTCGTGCTCCTTGCATTGTCTTGATGCCCAGCTCGTCAACGCTCAATGCCTCTCAGAACAATATACAAAAGTTTACTGCATCCTTTAATTCAAATTTCACCTTTGGCACCCTCGTTTCCTCATCGGTGCCTCGTACGAGGGAACCTTCGTAGCAATTAATCGCGTCCTCGGATGCACATACACGATGGACCCTGCCAGTTTTGGCATCAACACAAATTACTACTACTTGTGCATAAAGATCTGCTATTCGTCCTGTTCGCCTCCACCCCACACTTTGACCTTCCCTCCTATATCTTCCGTCTATCTCGTCCACACCCATGCCTTCGCTCCTGACCAGTCTTTTCGTTTTCCGATCCTCAAAGGTATGTGTTGCATGACAATGGATGTCTCTCATATAGTATATGCTGACGATCCGTATTTCAGTTCTGTATTTTCTAGGGCGCCCCCACCCGCTCGTTCGTTAACCATTATGCATCATAATGCACGCTTGCACATCCCTTCGTTCTCCTTTGAACTGGCCACTGTCGCTCTCGTCCGTGCCATTAAATGCGCAGTTCACATTCAGTTTCTTTATCTCATCAATATCGGTCTCTGCGTCTCCTTGGGGCAGGTTTTTTTACGGATGGGGAAATTCTCCCTTCAACGAACGGCAGGTGTCTCTCCGATTCTCCCTCTCCTAACTGGTTATTTGCTTCTGAAGCTCGTCGACGACCTTGAACTATCTATTCACAAGTGCATCAATCTCATCACATCATTACTTGTCAGCCACCAAACTGGAGTCATCACACATTCATTAACTTTGTATTCAAAGCGTGCACCATCACCGCCCATTCGTCATCGCTTTTGTTCTTACTACTGCCTCCGTTCCTTTTGATCTTTCTTTCTTTGTACAACTACGCCCTCTTCTTTTGTACAACCGTGCCTTGCGATGTCACCGACAACGTTCACCTTTATCCCTGGATGCACATTGTCTTTCTACTGCAATCCAGGCTAAAGTACGTACTTCGACGAATCAGATATCATCCCTCAAATCTCACCTTGGTAATGTAAGCGCTGGATTGTGGTATATCAAGCACGAATGCGATCGTTATACGTCCACCAAGTTCCCCTGCTCGCTTACTCCGACCCTCCAATAGGATGACCCTAGTTTCGAATGATCCCAGTTGGTGGTCACTCATCAATGCGAATCTTATCAGCAGCTATTTTATAGGTTTGTGGAGTCAGCTGCGTGATGACAATGACTAACGTTCGCTGCCATTTTGCAGTTGCCGCCTCTGTTGGGCTAATGTACGATTGGGGTGAGCAAGACTAAGTATAAAAAACCCACTGACATCCTTATGGTATTCTCAGCGCTTACGTTCGGGCAAGAGGTACGTCGATCCATTACTGGGGCAGCCAGCTCGCTTAGAATCGTGTTATAGGTTGAACTGATCTGGGTGAGCGGACTCCCCCATCAAAAGAATGACGTGAAAATGCAACTTGTTTATGGCAGAGGCAACGGTGGTCCCTGATGACCTTTCTCTATCTCAGTGTATGTGCCTTGTGTTTCAATATTTACGCTTAGCAAGTCCAAGTTTTGCTGACTTCAAAATACATTAGGTGCACTATGTTGGGATAGGATTTGTTGTGTACGTTTGGAAGTTTAAGCAATTGATGTCGCGCTCATTACCCATCTCTCACAATCAGGATGTCCATGCTGGGTATGTCTCCTCACATACACTATGTTCGTTTTCTTCTGACTAGTGGTATACAGTCGATGTTCCGACAATTTCAGTGACAGACGTAGTGAGTATTCCGCACGGATGCCTTCTATTCCCGTCAAACAACTGAACTACCTTGTAGGGGTGAGTAAGATTCTCGAACAACTTGTCGATTCAAAATAACGACTCCTACAGTTGTGAGTTTGTGTCGAGCCTGTGGTCTTCCGAAGCTGATAACTAATGTTGCTGGATTTGTCAGGCCTTATCATAAACGACGCAATTAATTGGACAGGTGAGGTTGTACAGGTAATACTGGGCGGTGAGCTATACGCCTCCGTGATATTGACTTGACTGAAACATCATGCAAGTCATCATGATCGCTCGGTTACATGCTATGTATCAGAGGTCTAGAAAGGTGCTGACATGTCTCGTTATCATCTTTGTGGCCATCAGAATTGCCGACGCAGTGATGACCGCAATGATAACGGTGCAGCTTTCAGGGGGTAAGCTTTATTTATGTATGAAACATTTAAGTGCATCAAAAATTACCAGAGGAATTCGTTCTCTCCGGCACCTATCAGTGCATTATTGACTACACGGGAGATTCTATGTTTCTGGCTTCCATGATTTGGATACTTGGGACTGTATGGGAGGTCCTTGCACTGTGCCTCGCGGTCTGGATTGCTGTAAAGCACTTCCGTGAACTACGACAACACTCAACAAGAGGTATTGTCAGGGACTGTTTCACGGTGTTGATGAAAACTCACGTTAGCTACTTTGCAAGGTGAGTTCATATGTCAATGTGGTTTTCTTGTTCCGCTAAAGTTTTGCACGTGCTAGTTTTTTGGCTATCTCTTGCTTCAAGATCGGTTTCTTCTCTCCAACGCTCTCAGTGGTAAGCCGCTCTGTCAACGACCTCTACATGCGACCATGTTTCATCATTTCTACAGGACATATATTCCCTGAACACTCGGATTTATTTCGGTCTCGCTCAGATACTCCAGAGCATGCAGATGTTTGTGCTGGGACCACGCCTGATCCTCGGTGTTCGAGAATATCACGCTGAGCTCGTGGCCAACTCTGATGCAGCAACCGCTATGATTTCGATTGTTTTTCAGGAGCGCGTTCACGTGTCAACCGGCAGTAGTGTGTAGCGCAGAAGATGCTCGATATGATTGATTTGCGATGGGCGGTAGTGTGCAGGGAGTGGGAGAATTTGTTTTTATTTATTCCAGATTTTGTCGTGGTACTTATTCAAGTTGCGAAGTAGATATAGGTCATACAAGCGTTTTTGGTGAACCATAAGTAGAGATCTCTCCCCGACGCTGAGGTTCACGTACTCGATCTCAGTAGTGCTGTCAAGATCGTAGAAGTCCGTTCGCTCCTGATGCCATCGCTGAAAGATGGCTGTTTCCAGGACCTCAGAGAATTACTCGACCACTCAAGTGGCGCCTGTAGACCGTCTCAGTACCCCACCGAGTACCTTCTGGGAGGACCTTGGCTTGTTGATCAGTCTACTTCATTAAGCCTAAGCGGATCCGGTGCTGCAGTGCCACATTTGAATTGGGATGACGAGGACGAATAACAAGAAACTAACGAACGCAGATGGTCCGACTCGGAGCTAATTTTCAAGTGTCGTTATAAAAACATGGATGCTTCATGGTGTACAATAAACAACCAGCGAGAAGAATGATTAGATGATACCATTTGCTCAACATCTTAAAGTTGAAGGAGTCGCATATACTCAGTCGCATGCTAGTGGCGAGAGAATTAAGCTGCAGTTTGTCAACGGCATGAATCCTGCTCACATTAAAGGAAATATGCTTCCGCAGTGCGGTGTTTGACTTTGAAGTTCGCTCTGCGTTCGTGAATACAAGTTGGGCGGCTTCGCGGATATCAGGAGCAGTGCCTTCTTGTTGTAGTACCAAGTCAGCGCTTCGGCAAGATGATAGAAACATGTGCTTGCGATATAGAGTGGCTTGCGTTACTCAAAGGCAATTGACGAGGCGGCGCTTCTGAACGATGTTACAGATTATGCATATGTGCGTAGGCGTCCGGAGTGACTCGGGATCTTCGCTTGCGTCATTACCTCGGCATCAGTAAATTCACACATTCCTTAACTTCCTTTTTCGTCACTTATTAAGAGCGCATAAGAATTGCACAAGAACCACAAGCATCTCCTTGTCATAAGCTCCCACAAGTTTAAAAGCCGATCCCCTCCTCTTGTATTTAGCTTTTGCAGTTTTTTTGCACTTGTTTGAGAACGGACTGCATTGCAATTTGTGATAAGCAAATAAATAGGTGCTAAGCATGGGACAAGTATGCCAGTGTGCATTTAATACCCTCCAATGCGCTGACCATACAAATGTGGTTGTTTCTTGCACAACAATGGGCTGCCCAATTCCATCGTGTATGTCACGCCGGGTGTCGATCCTCGAGGTGTGAATTCTGCTCTTTGTCAACATAGCAGTTGTCCAGGGACCATTGACGCTTGGGCTGCATCGCTCGCAGCTCATCGTGAATGTCATCGAGACGAAAGACAGTGGAGATACGCTACTGGAAGGAAAGGACTTAAAACGGTGACTGAACTCGGTGAAGACGATTTTCACTCATCCGATTTGTATCGTACTTTTCGTCGCGGAGCCTTTCCTGTGAGTCATTCCTGTCTAGTATTTGTTATTAGTGTTGTTGAATGCCATCCTCGGGACCTCGACGATCACAGACTGGATGTTTGGCTACGCCTATGACTATTGACAGGACACGCCTTGAAGATTCACTCATGGATGGTTTCCTCAGAGGTCCCTCTTAACTGGTCTAAGTCGAGTGGTTGCCACAACAGAATCAAAATCTGTTTCTCTGGGACTGCGCAGGTTCGAAACCTGCCGATCATGTCAAGGTTTTTTTCTATCGCCACACGCCTTGACATTCACTCACGGATGGATTATTCGGAGTCTTACCTGAACTCGTTTTAGCCAAGTGGTCACATAACAGAATCAAAATCTGTATCTCTTGGATTGTGCAAGTTTGAAACCTGCTGACAACACTTTTTTTCTATCAGAACACGCCTCGAATATTCGCTCATGAATGGTTTCGTCGGTGGCGCACTTTAACTGGTCTTAGCCAAGCGGTTACTGTAACAGAATCAAAATCTGTATCTCTTGGATTGTGCACGTTCGACACCTGCCGAAGATAGGTCTGCTTTTTTGTCGGAAGTGCGCCCTGAAGATTCATTCATGGACAGTTCCGCGGAGGTGCATCTTAACGTCATCCTGGCCAAAGTTGTTGCCGCAATTGAGTTGCTCTTGGACTGCAGGTTCGAAACCTGCCGACAACAAGGTTTTTTTTCTATCAGAACACACAAATAATTAAATAATTGACATCCACTCGTGTAGTTTCTTCGGAGGCTTATCTTAACTAGTCTTAGCCAAAAGGTTACCACAATAGACTCAAAATCTGTTTCCGAAACCTGCCCACGACAAGGTTTTTCTCCATCTTCCATAACACGCCTTGACATTCACTCGTGGATGGTTTTGTTAACTGGTCTTATCCAAGTTGTTACCGCAACAGAATCAAATTCTGTATCTGTTGGATAGTGCAGGTTCGAAACCTGCAGACGACAGGCTCCTTTTTCTGTCGGAAGCACCCCTTGAAGATTCATCTCAACTTCATCCTGGCCAAAGTGCTTATCAGAACATAATCAAAATCTATTTCTCTTGGGCTGCGCAGGTTTGAAACCTGCTAACGACAACGTTTTCTTTCTTTCTATTGGAACACGCCTTGAAGAATCACTCATGGATGATCTCCTCAGAGATCCATCTTAAATAGTCTTAGGTAGGTGGTTACCATAACAGAAACAAAATCTGTCAAACCTGCCGACGATAAGGTTTCTTTTTCCTATCGGAGTCCCTCAGAGGCTCCTGTTAGCTGACCTTAGCCAAGTGGTCACCACAACGGAATCAAAATCTGTTCCTCTTGGACTGTGCAGGTTCGAAATCTGCCGATGACCACGTTTTTTCTATCATAACATGCTTTGACATTTACCCATGGATGGTTTCGGCGCTGATCTTAACCGTTCTTAACCAAGTGGTTACTACAACATAATCAAAATCTGTCTCTCTTTGACGCAGGTTCAAAACGTGCCGAATGGCAAGTTTCAGAGTCGAAATCTGTTTCTCTTGGAGTAGGTTCGAAACCTGCTGACAATATTTTTGCGGTGCAAAAGAATTATGCATCTCCGTTGCGATAGGGTCGTCTTGGGAAGGCCTGACAGTGGATATACTCAGACTGGAAGTTCTAGACATCACCAGCAGGCTACGTATAGTAAGGATGGTGGTAGGGTCGTTGCCAACTGATAAATCAATGGATATTTTGATTGACGCAAAAGTCTCGCCGCATAATGATCTTACAACCAGAGCATTTGTGACAAGCTGCTGGATGGAGACATACGGGTGACAAACATGTCGCAAGACTATTCAGCTCACGTAGATGCCAGAGCAGCGCTCAAATTCCATTCATTGCGCTGAATACGCTGATACGCTTAGCCAGTACCTACATGCCTTTAGCTCAGCACCTTGGCTCATTACGAATATGGTACTCACGCGCAACGCTCCAGCAAGGCGCTATCAGTCTTGAAAGTGTGAACGTCGGGTGCTCCCGCGAATGTCTTGTTGAACTTCATCTCCGTCAAATCATGTTGCCAAGATGTCCAGGAAGGCGTGATATCCCCTGGGGTGTATCTGTCGTCAGGAGTCTCGAACATGGTCCATAGCCATGAATGAATTCGAGAAGGCAGTGATGAACTGCGAATTGTTGTATGGAGGACCAGCCCTGAAACAGTATACAATCAAGTAGGGGTTGACCCATTGTTGCAACTTACCCATATGAGGTGAAGTAGTACGGAATATCATTTCCATGCAGGCCAGGCGGGATTGCAAACTCGCCCTGCTTGTATTGAGTATACATATATTACAAGTTGCCTCGAACTCACTTTCCAAGCTCGTTCTCCAAATCCTAAGAGGAGATAATACGTGGGGCAGACGATTATTGCTAAACCGATCCATGAAATCAGGGACATTGATCATCGCTTCAAAAATACACATACATTCACCTATCACAAGACTTGCTTGGTTAACGTTACTTCCATAGTTCTGGTACAGCGCTACCGCTCCAGCAACTTGAGCAGGACCGAAATTCGGGAAAAGCGTCTTGACATAATCTGCAACATCCAATGTCATCGATTGGTTGACGAAAGTGACCCCCTCGTGCGAATTGGTCACAGCAAGGAGATAGTTCTAAGGGAGAAAGGGTCTCAGTTTGTTTGTGAGATAGATGCATTCATGGATCGTACGCCATTCAAACGACCTTTCCTTATCGTCACGGTAGGCCTCTCCGAGATGAAAGTGCCATCCACAACAGGGACGAATGCGAACATGCCAAAGAAGTCGTTGACGTTGATGTTATAGTTCAAGGTCTGTAGAGTATTGACGTCTGCAGCGCGCAAACAAGAGAGGGTATCCGAACTTGAGGCACAGCTGCAAATTGAGGAATTAGATAGGGAATAGTGGTTTTCAAAGAATTTACTTTGTTCCATTGACGACTTCACTATACAACATCTGGTAGTGGTATTCAGGACCCTGCGGACATCATTCTCAGGCTTATGAATAAGAATCACCTCCGGAATCCGGTCATTATAGTTGTATTGGGGTCGCGAGGCCGTAGAACTAGTCATGGCGGTTCTGAAGAGGGGAGGCTGCGTGTTTCCTCCATGAGCAACGATATGTTGTATCACTGAACCGGCACCTGAAACGAAGTAGTAAATAAAGACGATAATGATGAAGAGTACCTAGTGTAGCTCACCAGCGGACTCTCCCCAAATTGTGACCTTCGTGGGGTCGCCGCCGAAGCTGCTTATCTATACGGACGAGCTTCCTATCAGCTGGGGTACACCACGCAAGTAAAGAGCTCTGCTCACGTAGGTCTGCACCCACTGTAACGCATAATTCTGGTCGACTTCGAATATCAAGTTCAGCTGAATCTCAATGACTGCCAGACACGTACGTAGTCCAGCATTGAGTGCACCCCCTTCCTTGACCGCTTCACCAGGAAGAAAACCTAATCGGTAGTGTATACCCCTTAGATGCATTTGAAACTGAGAGGAACAACAAAACATACCGAATAAACCGAGACGGTACTGAAGTAAGACAGCGATGACACCATAACTCGACTCTATAATTAGATCTGCGCCATTGAATTCGCTTATGGCTCCTTCAGTATACCCTCCTCCGTGAATCCAAACGACGACTGGTAGCCCTCCTGCCGAAGTGGCCACCATTTCACTTCCAGGAGTGTATACACTACCGGACGTAACCACTGATTGTAAATGTCAACATCATCGTTCCATGACAGGGCTTACTTCAAGAATAAGCAGTCTTCAGATTGACTAATAGCCCTTTTCCTCAAAGAGGTGCTTTCAAACGGATTTGTCGGAGAGTTGCCTATGACTGCTTGATTGCATTCGTTTGGTTGTGTGGTAGCTTGTTGAACCCCAGAGACGGTCAATGGTGGCTGCGGAGCTGCCCATCTCAAGCCGCCTATGCGCTTAGTGCGTGAACTGAGATTGTGTGCAACAAACAGAACTAGACGCACCGACTGGAGGGGCTGCGTAGCGTATTCCAAGGAAACTGGTGATGTTTGTCGCCGTGTCAACTGATCCCTGGTACCGGGCATAACCCAAGTTGACGATGGGTACAGATACGGTGGCAGACAAGACTTCTAGCGCAAGCAAAACCTGCGACACGACCAATAGATTGGCTCTAGTAGACAGTTTCAATCCCACAGATCGCGCAGTGATAAACATCTTTGACTAGGGTGATGAAGATGGCGCGAGTTATTATAAACCTCACACTGACCACTGGTAGGCCATCACGAGTTTCTCTTTTCGGTCTAATGTGACTTAATTTACGGAACAAGGCGCGAAAGTACGCTAATTACCAGGTTTGGAGACTCTATTATGTAACGAGGTACGAGCGAAGGAATAGAGTAAGGTCTTCGAGCGAACGAGAGGCGCGGGGAACGCACGTCTTGCTTCCGCGCCACGTCCATCGTTCGTCACTCCGTAGCTCGTTCTGCTTGCTCTTCTTTTCTTTCAAAACAACATAGTCAATACACTAGCTTAACCTACTAGAACTACCCAATTTCCTCTCTCACTCGCGAAAATGGCCGATCCATCTACTGAAGTCCGCCCAGACTTCGCCGGCGGCCTCTATGCCGGAATAAGGAACGACCTCATGGCGGCCACAGGAAGCACAGAGCAAGAAGTCATAGATCGTTTGGCCGAAACCTGGGACACTGACCACGAAGAACGTGTCCGGGACTGGAACCAGCGACAGGAAGCAGATGCCCTCGCTGCAGAAGAAGCAGAAAGAGCACTCCGCACTCAGCGAGACGAGGAACGCGCCCAGCAGGAAGCAGAGGCTGAGAGGGAACGCTTGGAGACGGAGAAAAGAAACCAAAGATGAATGGTTTTGACCAATCCGCATCAGTAGGGGACTTCCTATCCCCTCGACCCGCTCAGTATGCCATCCAGAAACTCACCAACTTTGAGTTCGTAGAACTCTGGTATTTCTCACCAGACGGCTGCAAAGAAGCCTTGAAGACCTCGCGGTCCATCGCCGAGAACGACCTTGGCCTCACCAGAATCGACGACCAACTAACTGTCCGTCCAGCGTCAGCCTTCAAAGCTTCGAAAGCTGCCCTCGCCGACCACGAACTATCCTTTTCCACCTTCCTACGGGCTAAGAACCTGTATCTTGTCCAGATCAGCAAGGCCAAATGGCCCCAGACCCACATAGACACCCTGTCCCTTTTCTTCTGGCACCTCGAGAATCACACCATCCGCAACAACAGCGAGATTGGTGACCTGGTCATCCTCAACTACGCCTCCCGTGTTCGCCAAGACTGGCATGACAAGCTCAAACGGAACGAAGGCTTCAATATCGCATCGATTAACGAGAACCTCATCCGCGTGATCAACGAGGAGTTATGGGACAAGATTCGCTCTCGGGCTTTAATTGTGGTGGGTCCCTCTATGTAAATACTACGTCTAAACCTTTCCACTAACAAACGGTTTCTTTCCCTACCAACCTTGGAACCTTTTCCTCCACCCCCACCCCAACATAACCTACACCCGGCTCAACTGCCAACAACCATCCTTTAACGCCCGCGATGACATTCCCGCGGATGCTCGCAATGACACTCCCGCGAATGCCCGCAATTTGTTCAACGCGGATGCACGACCCTTCTGGCATACGTGGTTACGTGCCACAGCCCACGAGCAGAGCAACCCCAACGACTTACAGCCACAATCGGAGGTCGAGCTATCGTGATCCCAGAGACTCTGGCCACGAGGAGTACCGCTACAGGAACTCTCGTTCACGCTCCCCATCTCGCGGCACCTCCGAGTCGAGGAGAAGCAGAACTCCATCCCCACGGGGCAGCTCCCATAACCGTCAACGACGCGGGGGTTTTTCCCGCAGCGCAGGCTCACGCGGCCGTTCAGCCTGCGCAGTCTGCCTGGGCCGCTTTGCACACGACATCAAAAAGTGCGAATCCCACAACTTATGGGACGGATCCAATGGCCACTGTCGTCGAGCCCAAGACGGCCAAATCACCAACCTCCAAGGCCTACCTCTCTGCCTCAAGTGGCAACGCCCCGAAGGCTGCCAAGCCACCAACCACGAGCTGTCACACGAATGCTCAGGATGCGGAAGCAAGGAGCACGGAGCCCAGAAGTGCCCTCGAAGCGAGAAAGCTTAAGGCCCACACTCCTTATAACCCAGTTGAATGGCAACGTCTCCTCGAAGAGACGGGCCTTATACATAGATACCCTTTTGTCCCTGCTTGTCTCGCATCTGGTTTCTCTGGGGGGATCCCCCCCATTACCTGTACATACACACCACCTAATAACCCATCCGTCGAGGAACACTCCGAAGCCTTTGCAAACATCATCAGTCACGAATTTGCAAAGGGTCGTTTTATTGGCCCTTTTAATGCTGCAACCCTCGAATCAATCATTGGTAAATTCCAAACAGCTCCTTTGTCCATTATTCCGAAGCCAGGCAAGCCTGGAAGATTTCGTCTCATTCAAAATCTATCATACCCTATTAGACCCTCTCCCCCCATTAGCTCCATTAATTCTCGTGTCGATTCCGATCTTTTTCCTTGCACATACGGAACTTTCCCCACCATCTGCAGAACAATATGGTGTCTTCCTCCAGGGTCGCAAGGAGCTGTTCGAGACGTGGCAGAGGCATACAGAACAGTCCCCTTGCACTCATCTCAATGGCCAGGCCTGGCAATCCGTCTCCCAGGGGAAGACACCTTTGCAGTTGACACATCATTTTGCTTCGGGTTCGGCCCATCAGCGGGAATCTACGGAACCGTTGCAGATGCAGGTGCAGACATTTTTCGCGCCAAGGGAATTGGCCCTTTATCCAAATGGGTCGATGACCACTTATTCTTCCGAATCAGAAAAGAACACCTGGCCGAGTACAATAAGCGACGTGAAACCTGGGCCAAAGACATTGCCAACAACGAGGGTGTCGTCATTGAAGGTGGGCGCAAATGGTTTAAAGGAGCAACATGGCCAAATGGCTCCACAGAAGAGTTCGACGAAGACGTGTACTTTCCCATCTTGGATTTATCAGCTCGTTCACCACGATCACGCGAAGACCTGCAATTTTCCTTTTGCATGGATGACATTGACCACCTCTCCATACTTCTCGGCATCTTCTGGGAGGTATCGAAGGACAAACCCTTTAGCCCCACCCCCCCCATTCATTGGGTTCACCTGGAGCATTGAAGACCGAACAGTGGCCTTATCAGCTGAGAAGCGTGCCAAGTACCTCACTGCGGTCAACACGTGGCAGTCAAACGCACCCACACACTCCATGAGGTCCAAAAACTCTACGGAAAACTGCTGCATGCCTGCCTTATCGTCCCGATGGGCCGCGCTTACCTCACGAGCCTGGAATGCATGCTGGGTATATTCGGAGAGCACCCACACCTGCCCAGAACTCCCCTCGTAGCACCCCCGAAGATATCAACTGGTGGAAAAGCACCCTCAGTTCCCCCAACCTCATTCGTCACATCCCAGGACCGTGCGTGGTACATGACTTCAACGCCTATTCGGACGCTAGCTCTGGTCATGGCATCGGAATCGTCATCAACGGCAGATGGAGAGCCTGGGTCCTCACACCTGGTTGGAAGCGAGACGGACGGGACATTGGATGGGCAGAAAGTGTCGGCTTCGAACTCCTCGTTCGCACTATCATCAAGGCCTGCCCCCCCGGGATTCATTTCAAAGTATACGGTGACAATCGAGGGGTTGTGGAAGGATGGTGGAAGGGGTGTAGTCGCAGCCGCACCACTAATGCCGTCTTCAAACGCATTCATCACGTCGTCGCGAGTACCAAATGCACAGTACTTACTCGATACATCCCAAGCAAGGAAAACCCAGCAGACGGCCCCTCAAGAGGGATATATCCCCCCACATGTGATGCACTTCCCCCAATCCCAATCCCAAGTGAACTCCAAGCATTCATCTCCGACGTCTCAGAACTCGACACATCCAATTCCTCCACCTGGCCCAGCCATAACTCCCACTTCCCATCCCCAAGCCGCGCTACCAGTCAATCGCTTCGAGAAATGGGCAAAGAACACCTCGACCTCGAGCTCCGACGCCGCGCTTTCATCAACCGCGAGTTTGAGCGGAGGGGAGAAGAGCTCCACCAAGCGTCGCAAGGCTATGTATAACACTGACCTGACTCCAATCCCATCTGCCCTCCGTCCTCACTGCAGCGCAAAGGATCGGCTCCATCTATGGTTGCCACAATCCTCTCGGTCAACCAAAGACGCGCAAGGAAGACTCGTCCCCTTGGCACCCTCTGACATCCAACGCATCCGCGACGTCATGCTACATGGATACTCAGAAGGGACTCGCGAGTCCTATGGCTCTGGCCTCCTCGTTTACCATGTGTTCTGTGACAGCAAATCCATTCCAGAGACCCAACGCGCCCCAGCTAGCAGCATCCTAATCGAATCTTTCATATCGGCCATGGCAGGGAACTACTCTGGGAAAACAATCGCCAATTACATCTTCGGTGTGCGGGCATGGCACGTACTCCACAGCATCACCTGGGACCTTAACGACATGCAAATCAAGACGTTACTCAAAGCAACCGTCTCGCTCACCCCAACCAGTGCACAACGAAGCAAACGCGAACCTTACACCGTCGAGCTAATCACAGCCATAAGAGACCAACTAGACCTCAATAACCCACTAGATGCGTCAGTTTTCTCTTGCCTAACGACGACCTTTTACGCCACTGCAAGGACCTGCGAATTCACGGTACCCCGCCTCGACTCCTTTGACCCCAACCTGCACGTCACCCGCAACAACGTCTCAGATGTCCGAGACAGACAGAACCTGTTAACGAAGAATTTCCACCTTCCGCGCACCAAGTCAGCATTAGAAGGAGAAGACGTGCACTGGGCACAACAGCACGGCCCTTCAGACCCTGAAGAAGCCTTCAACAACCATATCCGCATCAACGACCCTCCAGCGAATGCCGCACTATTCTCTTACAGGTTCAAAGACTCCCACCATCCTCTCACCAAGACAAAGTTCCTGAACAGACTAGCTTCTGCAACCAGAGCTGCGGGTCGCAAACCAGTGCACGGCCACGGCATCCGCATCGGTTCCACCCTAGAATACCTCCTACGGAACATTCCTTTCAACGTCGTCAAAGTTAAAGGACGCTGGGCAAGCGATGCATTCCTCGTGTACCTGCGGAGGCACGCCCAGATCCTGGCCCCATATATGCAAGCCACTCCCAACATCCAAGAACAATTCCTTCGTTTCACCCTCCCATCAGTGCGCTGATCGCAACACTGAAACACACAGATGTAAGTCACCCTCGTCCATCTCCTAAGAACTGGGCACCCGAGTTTCGCTGGATGCGTCGTCGGACTCCTGGTGTATGGGAATCGCAGCTCACCTCTTCTTCCCTTAGGTTTGGACTCTTTCCCTTGGGGCCGGAAAGCGCTGCGCGCCTTCGCCCAAAAACTTATCATTACCATCACTCTCCCTTATCGTTACTTCACTTCTCTCAGTTGGGCTTTCGCCAAATGAATATTATTTCTTCTACTCCCTACAACGCGCTGGAGTGAACCTCCAAGACCTTCCCATCCGCGGTGTCGAGAGAAGAGGGCTGCATCCGAGTACATAGAAAAAATAAAATAAAATCACGTGCACTTTGAAATGTCCAAAAGCAGCCCAAACCTTATCCCTCGTTCTCTCTCCACAGTGGCTGGCAGAAAATATTTGTAAACAATGTTCAGCCACCGTAGCAAACCCTTCAGACCTTGAAAATTAACTGGCAACTTCGAAAACTGAACTTAGGGTTTAAATATTTTAGATTATGTAACATTACCATATTCCAGACTCGGTGACGTCGATAATTGATCCATGGCGCCTTCTCTTGCTTTGATTCGTGCACGGACAGAGGAGGTATTTGGACGCAGGGCTTGCCTTTGGCAGCTCAGAGTTGCTGAAGCTTTTCTGCTCCGAGATCGTGATATTATTTGTGTCAAAATTATTGTATGCATATGCCGCTAGAAGTGTTTGTCCAAGATATTGCAGCGCATGACTTGATTCTGCAGATAGTGAACGGACTGTATCGTGAATTGCATCGACGGATATCGAGAGACCCATCTTCGCCATCATTTCGATGACTTTCTCTGGTGCATGTGTTGAATGCAAAAATATTCCGAGTATGCTTGACAGCGAGTTGGCTTTCTGATTTGTGCTTTTCTTTAGAAGTGAAACAATTACTACTTTCTGCTGGATGAGGTTTGTTTAGATCAAGCACAAATTTTATCTATATTTTCCATACCAGCATCATTGTCGCACTACGTTGAGATGTGAGGCGCTCAGCTCTCGATATACAATCACCAGTGATGCCTTCTATAACACCTTCTAGGTCATCTACTTGAGCCCAGTATTCTGAGTCCTCAGCTTCTTGCGCATCTGATACCAAAATTCCGATCTCCGTGTGCCCTTTGCTTTCGATTTTCGAGACTTGAAGAGCTCTCGCGGACAAGAGGGAATCAAGCAGGGCCCATAGCACTGGTGCCTCTCCCGCGATCTGTAGAGCCATATCATCAATTTGGAAGCCCTCTATTTGCTCAGCTTTCGCATGCACAGCGCTAAAATGCAACCCGTTCTCCACTTTTGTGAGCTCTTGAACCTCCCTTGCACATTCTGCGCTAATGGCATCCTTGGCCCACCCAATTAAAGGGTTATATAGATTCTGGTGTCGCGATAAGGTGCAGATAATGTTACCTATGTTGGCCAGAAGGTCAACAACTGCAGGGTGGTTGGCAAATTGAGGTACTGTGAGGATCATGACGAGGAATTGTGAAAGACTTCTGTCTCCATCAAACATATCGAGGACGCTGCAGTATGTTTCCATATGGAGTATAGATTAAATATTTAAACCCTAAGTTCAGTTTTCGAAGTTGCCAGTTAATTTTCAAGGTCCGAAGGGTTTGCTACGGTGGCTGAACATTGTTTACAAATGTTTTCTGCCAGCCGCTGTGGAGAGAGAAACCCCGCCATGTCGATTCGGTTTCTTACAGCTGACTACTATACATCATATGCGAATCAGTGGACTTCTCACTATAGAAGCTGGGTAGTACCTTCACTCGTTACAGTATGGCCTGGGACTGTAGGCGAGCCTGTACAAGTTACTTGCTGGTGCCATCAGCAAAACGCTCCTGAGCCGATTAGACCATGGCTGTGCAGTAGTAGTATGGCCGCACAGCAGCCTCGTGTCCTCCTGCAGTTGTCCTGCAGTGCAAGCACTGGACGGCAAGCACCTCTCGTCCTTCAACTGTATTCCACAACCATCCAGCGAGCTTTCTATAGCAGAATAGATTGAAACATCCATCCGTCCATCCCATCTTCATCCCGCTCAGGCTTCGCACTTTCCATCGATTGACAGCTGGATCGTTCCGCGATTTAATCACAACTTACAAGCTTCAATTCAAATTTTCGTATGTCGTCCCTCCAGATAACTATCACCAAGATTATTTCTAACCACACTCTCGACCCAACTACTTAGTACTTTTTATTGGTCCATTTCATCACACATATCGCAACCTTCGTCAATGAGTGACGATCAAGGTCAGTACTTCTTTCTCTTATCTCTCGCAAGCTCTCTGACCTCTTTGACAGTCCTTCAAGGAACCTGGGCAAGGCTTTCCGAGGTCGCTGTCAAGGGTGCCCAATATGACTCCCGTGAACGTCAGCCCCACCCAAAATGTTTGGAAGGGACCCGGGTGGATCTCCTCAAATACATCCACGGATTCCTGGATGACACAGAGACGAATCAGCTCGTGTGGCTGCATGGCACAGCAGGCGTCGGAAAGTCTGCTGTTGCATTCACCGTAGCTGAGAGGATGAGAGGTCTAAAAGTGACAGAAGACACCAACGTCGAAAAGCGGCTAGCGGGGACATTCTTTTTCTCGCGCAAGCACACGAAACGTTGCACCGCTGGATATTTTTTTGCAACACTTGTCTATCAGCTTGCCACCAATTTCCCCAGCGTCCGGAATGATGTGAACAGAACTATCCGCGACAATCCCGCTCTACTAGACCCAGACACACCTCTCCGCGACCAGATGGAGGCTTTCTTTCTCCGGCCTCTCCGTAAACTCCAACCCAGATTGCGTGGGTGTCAGCCTTTGTCATTTGTCATCGATGCGCTTGATGAATGTACATTCGAACCCGAGCTTAGCGAACTCATCCTTTCCCTTGCACGGGCTCTTCGTGAGCCTGATCTACCCGTGACCCACATTCTGCTCACAAGTCGCTCGGAATCGCATATTAGCAAAGTATTTCAGAATGACGAGGTGCGCGCGTTGGTGCGTGAGATACCTGTGAGAACTTCTGGGGAGGGTGGAATCATCTCGTTAGACGGCGCAGACGTTGACAACGACATCTGTACTTTCTTGCGGCATTCCTTCGAAGAGCTGGAAAGTCGTCATCCCAATTTCCCGCAGCCATCGGAGGCTGACCTTACGAAGCTGGCGAGTCGAGCAGGCAGACGTTTCATCGTGGCGTCTACGATGATGAAGTTTATTATCGATGATGAAGACAACGATCCCCGCGACCGGTTACAGCTGATGCTTGAGCTCACGAGCGAGCTGCTACCAGGAACGGACGTGTACAAGTTATACGACCGTATCCTCTCCACGTGTGCCAACCCCAAACGGGCATACCTACACTTGTCCATTGTCGCCGCCCTCGCAGACCCTCTTCCCATTTCACAAATCTCGACACTTCTTGGCCCTGGTTTGGGGAGGGATGTGCAAACAACGCTGATACAGCTGCGGTCTGTAATGGATATCCCTGCAGATAGCACTCTCCCCGTGAACATCTATCACTCGTCCATTCGCGACTATGTTTCCGACCCTTCAAACTGCAGCCTCCCTCAAGTACGAGATATCGAATCACCTCACTCCCTACTCGCACGTTCCTCTCTCCGCTTGATGGAGGCGATTCCAAAAAGCACGGGTCTCTTGCATGCGCTCTCAGAACTGAAGAAGCAAAGCAAAGCTATGCAACGTGAGGACTCCCGTAGGTTAAAAGACACATTAGCGTTCCTTGTTCAGCCACCAGAGCCACTGTCAGCTGTCATCTGTATGCTGTGGCTTCGAGGAGATCGCACTTCGGATTTAGAATCTTGGCTGGGGAGTGTGGACGGGGATGCCTGGCTACAGACCCAGGCAGGACAAAAGTGGCTGCCGACTCAGACAGGACAAAAGTGGCTGCTGACCCAGGCAGGCAAAAAGTGGCTGCAGACCCAGGCAGGACAAAAGTGGCTGCAGGGACGAGAGATCTTAGCAAGCCAATTATTGCTGCTGCTGCCGCCGTTCCTGCTGCCGTTCCTGCAGCCGTTCCTGCAGCCGTACCTGCAGACGTACCTGCAGACGTACCTGCTGACGTACCTGCAGACGTACCTGCTGACGTTCCTGCTGACGTTCCTGCTGACGTACCTGCTGACGTTCCTGCTGACGTTCCTGCTGACGTTCCTGCTGAAGTTCCTGCTGCCGATCCTGCTGCCGATCCCGCTGCCGATCCCGCTGCCGATGATCCTGCTGCCGATGATCCTGCCGCTGCTGCTGCTCCTGCCGCTCCTGCCGCTCCTGCCGCTCCTGCCGCTGCCGCCGCTCCTGCCGCTGCCGCTGCTCCTGGCGCTGCCGCTGCTCCTGCCGCTGCTGCTGCTCCTGCAGCTGCTCCTGCAGCCGTTCCTGCAGCCGTTGATCCGGGCAGGACGAGACCGGCTGCAGACCCTGGGAGGACATAAGTGGCTGAAGACCTGGGGAGGATGCAAGTGGCTGAAGACCCAGGCAGTGCACTGGCTGCGGACCCAGGCAGGGCCGGACTTGCTGCAGACCCAGACAATGGAGGCCTGGCTGCAGGCCCATATAGAACGAGACTGGCTGCGGATTCAGGGAGACGAGAGTGGCTGCAGACCCAGGAGGGACGAGAGTGGCTGCGAATTCAGGGAGGACGAAAGTGGCTGCAGACCCAGGAGGGACGAGAGTGGCTGCAGACCCAGGAGGGGCGAGAGTGGCTGCAGACCCAGGGAGGACGCGACTGGCTGCAGACCCAGGGAGGATGCGACTGGTTTCAGACCCAGGGAGGACGCAAGTGGCTGCAGACCCAGGGAGGACGAGGACTGGCTGCAGACCCCAGGAAGACGACAGTGGCTGCAGACCCAGGGAGGTCGCGACTGGCTGCGGACCCCGTGTGGGCGCGGACTGGCTGCGGACTCCCCATGGTCAAGCGTGGCAGTCCACTCCTGCGGCTTCCGTCTGGGTGACACTGGATGAATTCGTGAAGATATCGGAAGCAACCCACCACGAGTATATCGTTATCAGCGATGTGCCTTTACCGCCCGCTTTCCAAGTAATCCAGCGTTCAAGACCTTGCCTGATTTCTTGATGTTCCCGGTCTTCCTGGCATTCAGACATCAGCATCATTCTAAGCTCTGCATTACCAGAGAGTCATCTTCTCCCAGACAGGGAGATAATTCATTGCTATGAATGCCCTTTGAGAGGTTCGCCAACGAAGCACAGGAACGAAGTCAATCAGCTTCCGATGCTCTCAAGTACGCCTGTCACAACTGGGGCTGTACATCTCTCGCGCGCTCCCCATCCATGCGATGAACACGCCTCAACCATATATTCCGGGCTTTTTGGAATGATCATATTATCTCCTGGCTGGAAATGGAATGGTGTTTGAAGGGTCTGGCGGTCTTGCCTTGTCGTCTTATATGAAGGGCAGAAATTTGTGAAGGTGTGTGTTTCAACCATTCAAGGTAACCACAATTGATTGTCGCCTTACGTTCCATGATATTTACGTCCATGACGTGACGCCTTGGAATTCTCTCTTATCTTCGGTCCGGATTCTTGAGTCATTGACGCGTAGCCCGGCGCTAGCACTCGGATCTTTCACCCCCTACTTGAGCAGTGGCGTGTTTAAAAAGCCTGGTTGCACTATCATAGAGGTCCCTCATGACTGTAGTTTGATGGCGAGGACTATTTATTTTTGCGTATGTTGTTTTAGATCAAATACGTTTTGCCTATCTTGTAACTAGGGGTCGGCGCTGCCGACGGGGACCTTGCTCCCCTTATCAGTCTTCGTTTTGCTTTTGCTGTACACTTTCAATTCTCCTGCTGTTTGGGCTTCAAATAGGATGATGTGCCCGAAAGAGATGCTGCTGCTGTAGCAGTTTCAGGGAGCAACACTTTCCCGAGTGTATCATAAGGTCTAAGCACTGGCCTGTAAGGAGGCTTGGACTCTTGAACGCTTGCAACTGGAGCGTTCGCTGGTCCTTGGCTGTCCGACTCCAATCGAGTCTACCATTGCTTCAGCACACGATTGACATCTCATTCTTAATCTTAACTTTTGTCGGCTCCATCATCGGGCAGTTTGAACCTCCTGCAGACACGCTCTCCTTCTTCGTTGTTTGGCTTTCCCATCACATCGAACAGCGTTCCGTGGATTCCTATCTTTCGGGGATTTTAAATCGCCTCAAAACTCATTTTCCGACAAGTTTTATCATACTGAAAGTTAACTTGAGACAAAACCATTGCATGAAGCAGCAACCAACGTGATTAGCCCTATACTACAGTCAAGCTGATGACCGGCGCTATGATTAGTGGCGGCCTGCTTGGTGCTCAATGAAATAGCTTGATCAAC